TACCTGACATTTTAAGAAAGATGAAAAAGATATTTTATATTAACTCATATCTGCACCTATTTCTATGTGTAACATCAAATAGGGTTACCCAGACTATTTAGATCTGCATTGCTAGAGGAACTAGTATAAGATAGTTGATCTCAACCATCAGCGTGACGTGTACACGGGCACTGGGAGCAGGTGGAGGTATGCTCTGGAGAGAAGAGGAAATCAGCAAAAAGCGAGACAGAATACATGTATGAATGAGAAGGAGACGGTTGGAAAGGTGAAGAAGCAAGGAGTAAAGGTACTGAAGATGGATGAGCTTAAATACCTGGGGTCTACCATCCAAAGCAAGAGGGACGGCTCAGGCTGAACAGTTTGGAGACAAAGAGAAGCAAGGCGGAGATGGTTTGGACATGTGCAGAGGAGGGATAGTTGATATATTGGGCAAAGGATGTTGAAGATGGAGCTTCCAGACAACAAGAAAACCACAAAGTGGATTCATGGATGTAGGAGGACATGTAGAGGGGGATGCTAGGGATGGAGTAAGATGGAGGCAGATGATATGCTGTGACGACACCTAAAGGGAGCCGCCGAAAAAAAATATGTGCAAAATCACCATAATATACTGATATTTCCTATTTGAACTGCACTGTTATTGTAATACTCAAAGAGTGGTGTATATCTTGCTATAAGCTTCTGTGATTGGGTCAAACCATAAACAGTATAAAAGATGGCGGTAGCCATTGTGACTTCACCCTGAGTTTCTGAAGCCTTGAGCTGAGTCTTTTTTTATCACTGTAGCTTAGGAACAGCTTTACTAATGTGTGCTCCAGTGGAAACTGTGTTTTAGCTTTAAAAAAAGTACCACTGGTAGATCAAAACTATAAAACTGTGAAATTTCTGACATTTAGAATGACCCATGAAGTCATCACAAAAGCGTTTACAGAGGTCGGGGCGGAGGGCCATGTTCTCATACTCTTCTACAAGAGAGAACATTTGTTTGTAACCACAGGTATTGCCCCCTGGTACTGATCAAAGAGGAATACCAGCACTTCCATGTTGGCTGTATCCATCTTTTACACCCTTTAGTGGTCAAAGTGAATTATTTTATGATGTTGTGGATAATTTTGCACTCTAGGAGGAGGTGCCCACCGTCCACCGTTCATGGCTGTTAGATGAGTATCGCTAGTGTCTGTCAGGCTTTCAGAGCCACAGTGTTGGATTCAGGATGATGGTTATAGAAAAAAAACAGGTGAGCACACTATCGTTTTTGTAACATTAATAAACATTAAAACATTTCACACTTCAGATATAACTTTCTAGTATTCTGAGGGAAAAGCAAGGCATAACAATTCCTTGGGCATTTTTAGCATGTACTGGCTGTGACAATAAGAGTTTGGAAGCAAACGTGGCAAAAAAACACTAGGACAACATGAAGCAAAGGCCACTATGACCTCTATTTCTATAGCAATAGAAATAGGAAAACAGAAGTAAATATACATGGTATGTACTTTAATCACTTGGTCATTAAACTTCCACATAACATAGGCACATCCATATTGCCTTGTATTATTTATTGTTTGCATTGGGAACAAATTACTATCACAGTACAATAAAATCACTAAAGACCACACTGGCGCACAGCACAAACCACAAGCATTCACACGCTTAATAGGATGCTCAACCAAATCCCACATCTGAGTCTGAGCAGGAACAGAGCGTGATAAACTGCAGCCGCCCACAGTCACATATATCATTTAGTAGCAGCACAATCAATTCAATGTGTAGCTCACATCGCTCACAAATTGCTCGGTGAGATTAGAAAAGTTCAGTGTCTTTGAGGCTTGGAGAGGATCTAACAGGAGGAGAACCAGCGGAGCCTGACAGCTGAGTATTGTTGAAATGAGCTATCGACCTCCCCTTACCGAGACAGAGGTCGAAGTACTTTTTTTGCAGTTGTCTGTTTTATATTATTATTTATTACAGGTATTTTTATTTATA